TGTTCTTAAGACACTACCTGATACTGAATTTCTTTAACACAGCTTCACATGGCATCTCTGTAGCTGGAGGATAACAATCTTCTAAAGCATCTTACTACAGTCCTTCATATTCTCATGTGTCCATGTGGGCCAGCCTATAACCCACTGACTGCCGGAAATGGGGTTCGAGTTGAATATGGAAAAAGTAATAGGAATTCAAGTCATTGCTGAGTTATTCTGTTTTTTTGGCACTGTACCCCAATATTTAAAACTGTGACTATCATTTTTTAAGTAGTCACTGAATAATTTTTACATAACAAAAAAATGAACAAATGGCCTTTAACTGATATACTATGTTTCTTTGTTCCTAAATTATTAGCAATTTTAAGAAATACTGTTTTTTAATAAAGCTTTCAGAAGAAATGTTACACTATTTTATAGGCAAGCATTTATTAGTCAAATATTCCTGATTTTCAGAATCATTAAAAGGTGAAAAACAGGAATTCTAGACAGAAGAAACATCATGCATGACGTCAAATACCCATAGAATGATCTGAGATTCTTACGTTCTCGTTGTTTTATTGACTCCAACGTAAGGTGACTAGTGTATGTGAATCAGGCAGCAAATACTAATGCTATAGTCTTAACAGGTTTTAGCCTCAATGATGCTTTCTATTACCATCCTTCTGTCACATTTTGTTGCCAAACGTTAAGCAAATAATTTTTTACACAAGGTAAGAAATCAAGTTATTAGGATAAAGTTCTGGAGAGGGAGACATCTTCTATAAAGCCTTGTAACAGTTACACCTAGACACATATGGAAACAGCTCAGGCTATTTCCTGGAGGCTTCTCTCCACAGATTCATGTCGAGGAGTTTCATGAGTCCAGAGCCAACATGGGAATGCTTACCCAGATGCAGAGTGAAGTAAGAAATTCAGGCCTGGATACTGTTTGTGTTCACATATCCCTTCCCTTTCCCTCCACCTTCCAAATCACATTGTCAGAACCTGCCACAAAATGATGCTAGAAAAGAATTTGGGACAAGCCACTACAAAATTCTATTCAGATATGCAGGGACAGTGCTAAGTAGGTTGGGATGATGCTGGTTGAAAATAAACAGTATAGCTCATGATGGAGAAAGTCATTATCTATAATTAAAAAAAGAACATTTCAGGCCAATGAAATCCTACAGGAGAAATATTTTCCATTTTGTGTCACACAAGAAGACTTGCACAACATTTAGGGAAGATAGTGCATGGTAAATTTAGATATTTAATGGCTTTATTTATACATAATTTACATAACAATAAATGGCACCAAATTAAAGTGAACAATTCTATAATATTTGACTTTTATATATATGTGAAACCATCACCACAATGGAGACAATGAACATACGCATCACCCCAAAAGTTTCCTCATGTCTCTTTGTAATCCTTCTCTCAACCCTCTCCCACCCCCATTTCCAGGCAACACTTCTGTTATGAATTAGTTTGGATATTTTATAATTTTATATAAATGAAATCACATACTCTTTTGTCTGGCTTCTTCTCAACCTAATTATTTTAAATTTTTTCATTGTTCATAATTATCAGGACTTGTTTCTTTTTGTTGCAGTGTAGTATCCCATCATGTGCCTATAAAATAATTTGTCTATTCACCTCTTGATAGCCATATGGGTTAGTCCCAGTGGAGCTTTTACAAATAAAGCTGCTGTGAACATTTGTATATAATATTTTTATAAACATATGTTTTCGGGCGCCTGGGTGGCTCAGTTGGTTAAGCGACTGCCTTCGGCTCAGGTCATGATCCCGGAGTCCTGGGATCGAGTCCCACATCGGGCTCCCTGCTCGGCGGGGAGTCTGCTTCTCCCTCTAACCCTACCCCCTCTTGTGCTCTCTCTCTCACTCTCTCTCTCTCTAATAAATAAAT